ATATTTTAGATGAAATTGGAGTAAATAAAGTCCATCAAAATTTTATGTAATTTAAATGCGAGATTTGAAATTAAAATGTCGCAATAGCGTATAAAAAATATCGGTACTTTCAAAACCTTGTAGAAATGTGTAGCAATAATTTCTAAAGTAACGATTGCAAAATAATTTGATTTGCGATAAAATCGTTACAAATAAGCCATGTCAAAAAATGGTTATCTAAATGAGCGATTCTTTACTCGCGATTCGTAATAATATCGTGCTAAAATATCGAAGTTTTAAAAACCGGGCGGAAATGTGCAGCAATAACTGTTGAAGAAAGGATCTAAAGTCATTTAGATTTTCCATGAAGTTTGCACAAATAAAGCGTTTCATAACTTTCAAAAATCGCTATTTCAGAAACTACTTGAAAATGGGTAGCAATAACTACCGAAAAGTCATTGGAATCGGCACATACGAAAAGCGTCAAAAGTGGTAATTAAAATTCGTAAATCGTAATAATGATGTATTAAAAATATAGAGATTTTTAAAACTATGCTGAAATCCGTAGCGTTAACCATCGAAAAACTACATTGATTGAGATTGGGTGCGTCAACAACTTAAAAGTGTAAATTTAAATTACCGAATTTTTTTTATTATTTTTCAAAAACAAATATTTAATTTTTTTTTCATTTTGTTCAGATTGCGGCCGCGGGCCGCACATCGAGGGTTGGCGGGCCGCAGGTTGAGCACCCCTAACTTANGCCTAACGTACCAAAGTACATATACGTGGACCTGCAGGTTCTTGACTATATTATTTTTAAATGTTAAGTAAATATAAATTTTAAATCTTCATACAGATCACAGAACAACTAAGTAAAAAGAATATAAAAAAAACTATTTTCAGAATAACTTATATAATATTTAATATTGCTTACATTTTCGAGTACGTGGAATTAGTGTAATTTTTAAAAAACCACTTCTGTTTATTTATGTGGAGTTCTCCCAAATAACTTAAATTGTCCAGGAATATTGTAGTGAAGAAAAAATTATAAATTTTATCATAGTGTGTTTTCAGAAGCTAAGAAGTGAAGGTCCACATATGTGGACCGAGGTAATAAAGAGACTAATAATTTAAAACATATGATTAGTTTATTTAGCTGGGATTTTCCCCAGCTTTATTTTCAATAGTTTGATACGGATTATAAAATTTGCTATTTTGAATATGAGATCTAAATGGAAGGATTTTTTCACATGATCTGTGGGGATATTTCCATATCGAGATCTGGTGCGCCAACTACAATCGCCAAGGTGCCAAAAAGATTTTAAACTTGCAAACTTCAAAAATAAAAACATTTAGAAGTTTGCCCGGGGGTGGCTACGAGTTATACAGTTCAAGTTGGTCCCTTTCTGTGATGTTTTTTTAGTTTCTCGCAGGCTGCTGCCCAGAAGTTGCCAAAACTTGGTGATTATTCAGCTACAAATCACGATACGGAAATCTCCCCATAACTGTCAAGACTTGGCAAACTGTGGACTTCAGCCAAAGAGACACTAAAAAAAATAAGAACAAAAGGTTACCAACTCCAGGGATATAAGGGATAGCCACCTCCGGAAATACCTTTACATGTTTCTTTTTTTAAGAAATTTGCAAGTCCTTGACGGTAGTAGTTCGTACAGATCACGATACATAAATTGTGAATCGTAACCCCCTAAATATATATACATTAAAATTTGAGAATAGCATTAAAATTTATTTGATCAATGCTTCTATAACAATTTCCTCCTTCTTCTTTACACAATTGAAAACATTTCCCACATTTGAAAACATTTTGAGGTAGAAATTTAATAAAAGAGGGAGACATATACCATTAAAAAATATTCAAAACCAATTTTTGTCAGTTTACTTACAGGAATAATAGAGAGAATATTTGGTCTTGAATGGTGAGTTTTAATTCTTTTAGCCTTCTTCTCGCGAGAACTAGAATCGGATTTCTCCTTTTTATTCATGTTATAAAATCTAATACTTTCTTCGGATGACAAATTTTTAATCTTAAAATTACAACCAAATTTACGCTAATCCCATATTCTTCTAATAATTTAGTATGAGTTTAATGCTGCTTATTTCTGCTTAAATTAAGATCTATAAATATTATTTCAAACTTTTGCTTTAAAGAATACAAGCGACGAACACAAATCTTATTTTAGTGGTATGTTACCACTGAATTAAAGTGAATGCAAATGTAAAGAAATGGGTTCAAATGCTAATTGAAATTTAACTTTAAATTACATTGTTTTCGCATTTTATTTATAACATAGATATGATATTGTCTATAAGTAAAAATAAATAGATTTTAGAGAGATTAAAAAATTAATGGATTCGAAAGTAGATAGTTCTACTTTCTTCCTCCTAAGCCGTCTGCTCTTTAGGGGCTTCATAAAAACAAAAATTGAATATTTATTATCTGAAACAAATTGACATATTATTGCATTAGTTAATTCCATTTTTAGAAAACTATCAATTTATGACGTCATTATAAGCGATAACGATTTCCATTTTTTATAAGAATTGCGCAGATAAAAATTGCAATACAAAGTAATGCGCACTATTTTTATTCCCGGAGTAAGCCGGTTTTAGATTTAGGAGGTGCGGCCATCTTTGCGGCGGGAATCTAGCCTTAGAATTTTGTAGCGTGCTCTGGGCGGAGTCTGGTATTCTGCCGAACAAAACCTCATTTCTACATCATTTGTAACATAATTTCATATCTTTAATTTCACTTATTTAGTGAAAATTTTTATAAAATAGTAGTCAATAATGGCCGACCGTGAAGATAACGTGTATAAAGCTAAGTTGGCAGAGCAAGCTGAGAGATATGATGGTGAGCATGTAACAATTTTGACATGTGATTAAAAAAATTTTTTTTATTTATTGTTAAAAACCACTGCGTAATTCAGGATTTTTAAAAACTAAACACTAAAAAGCTACCAAAAACTGTCTATTTTTATGCATATCGTACTAATGTCATTATTTAGTGACACATGTTTTTCCTATTGACAGCTCAAGAGTACACATGAATTTCCTCCTTTAAAAGTATTAAATTAAGTGTTCACGTGTTCATTATCTTCTTTTCTTTCAATAAATGTTGTATTCTATTGAAACAAACTTCTGTAATTTTGCTAAAATGTATCTGATGCCGCAATGTATGAGTCATACTTGGCGAAAGAAAAGCTAATTAAGGAGTAAGTTTTTCCTGATATCAAATCCTTAGTTTTATTTGTGCTGCTATTCAATCTCAAAATCGCAGTTATTAACTGCTGTTTCCTTAGCAGTAACTTACAAAACCAATTACTTCGATGTTAAATTTTTTCGTTGACGCAATAAACCAAGTAGCCTATATTGGTACTATCAGTCTTAAAGAAAAATATTCAAACAGTTAATGTGAATCAAGGATGGTAAGTTTCTCCAAAAAGAAAAAAAAATTCTTTGAAGCTCTAGGTTTCTTCCAATACAAGTGAAAGATGCGCCTTTTAAAAGAGATCTTACATTAAAACAATGTTATAATTCCACTCCTTTTTAAGTTCTTACATCAATTTTATAAGTGATAACTAAAAAGTAATAACAATCGAAAATAATATGTTTAATGACTTTCTTAAATTAAGATAGCCGCTGAATGTTTTATCTTAAGTATATTAAAACCTAATTATCTAAAGAGGTGCTAAGATATTAACATATTTATTAATATATATAAGCAAACAATAAATATTATATTCTACAAACCACATACAAAAGTCATAATTGCAAATTGAAGACTAATTTTTACATTCAAAAACTGTCAAGTATGAAAATTCAAATGTGTTGAAATTATGCGGCTCTTGCATTTTAAAATCCTGTTTAAAAATAGTTATTTTTTTAAATGTGTATATGTGAAAAGCAGAGCTTTCATATTGCATATTTAATTTGCTTAAATTAAGACTATTTTCATTATATTTATGGGTATATTGTCATATTTAGTGACTTCCATTTTGTTCATATTCTACCAGTGTCTCGGAAGCAATAGGTTTCTTATGGATGAAATCCTAACCCTGATCTGAATAAACTCTAGATAACCTCTAAAGGTTGAAAGTAATGAATGGAAAATTGGTTAATTGCAATTAGCTGTTAGAATAATGATAGCAATGGAATAATTGCTAAAGAAAACAAATAATAAGACTGCTGTTATCAAATAGAATTATTTTTTTGTTCTAACTAGTAAAACTGCTAACTCATGAAGATAGCATAGTCTTAAAGATTATTTAGCTTTCAAGGCCTTTTAAATTTGTTGTGTTTTACCTAAAAATATTTGAACAAAAGTTATAAAGATTGATTGAAATCTTTGCAAGCTTATAATTTCAAAATGAGTTTTATCATTATGAAGTGAGGCGATCAAAATATATTTTTAAAAACATAATATTTCCAGTTGATGCAAGCAGATTGATTTTAAAAATCAATAGTGAAGTTGTTTGCCTTTAAATTAAACTGATTCTGTGGACATTCTATGTGCCCTGAAGTCATTGTGTAAGTGATTCAAATTTTAAGTCCTTTTATGCTAATATCGTCACTATTAAAAATGATATAAATTCTTGTGTAAAAGAATTTAAAATTAAACAAGTTACATATGGCAGCATTAAACTAACAACATATTTGAAATGATCAAGTTTTAGTAAAAATAAAATAATGGACATTTTGTGGCTAGAAGAAAGAAACCAATATATGCAATAAAATCACTACAATTCAGGAAGCATAAAAAAGTGATAATAATACTGAAAGTGATACTCAAGAAGCATGAAAAGTGATATAGTGAAAAGTTATGTATCTTAATATCATTAAATACATTAAGATTATAAAAAAATATCATGATTATAAAGCAACAAAGCTCATAATAGTCTAAATATTAGAGATAAACTACTGAATCTGATGAGTTATCAATGCAAGAGCTAAAATAGGTGATTACATTTTTCCATTTTAAATGACATGAAACTAGATATTATCTGTTTTTAATTCTAAGCCTTGCACCAACAGCATTAATGGGGATGAAGTAGCTTAGATTCAAATTAATCTTATTTTGAAGGGAAACATAAAAAAAATTACTCTAGTCTGTCAAGATAACTTCTGGCAAGAATTTTTGTTTCTATCGAAAAAAAAATAGATATTCCCCTATTTTCTTAAAGTTGCCTCAATATGAATTTTGATAAGAATTATCAGGGGTCTGTCCAGGCCGAATTTACTACCGTTTAGCGGTACCTTCTCAAATTCAACTTTAGGAAAAACGGTAGTTTCACAAATTCAACTTAAGGAAAAACGGTAGTTTCACAAAATACTTTTTCTTAAAATTTTGTTTTTGTGTCCCTTAAGAAACGATAAATCCATATTTTTGTGTTGATTTAATTTTAAATTTTTCACAAATTATGTCTAAATTTTCACAAAATAGGTACCTCTCAGAAAAACCTAGACAGACCCCTGATTATATTAAATCCGATAATGGTATGTAACATGATAGATTATGTAAGCACCAAAAAAACTAACATACAGGTGAAATTTTTCTTTGTCGGATCACACGCCATTGCATGATGCTACGGCTTGTGCCAATAAATTACATTTGAAGGTAGCTAAAAAAATGCATATTATGTTCAAACTATTTTTTCAGAAAATAAGTTCTAATGACTATAATATATCAGGGGTCTGTCCAGGCCAAATTAACTACCGTTCAGCTGTACCTTCAGAAATTCAACTTCAGGAAAAACTGAAACGGATTTCACAAAGTACTTTCTTAAAATTTTATTTTTTTATCCTGTAAAAAATGATAAATCCATATTTTTGTGTAATTTTTTAAGTTTCACAGATTATGTCTAAATTATCATTAAATAAGTACCTTTCAGAAAAATCTAGACAGACCCCGGCATATTCTTTATTAAAATAATAAATTTTAACTTTGAATTTATCTTTAAAAATTACCGCTTTTCAATAACCACCTGCATTCTACTGGAAATGAACGTGTTAAATCCCCTCCCAAATTTGTATAAAAATCTGAGTAGTATAAGAACCAATGAAACAGAATTAAATTACTCAAATAACTTGTCCTTTACTGCAATATTTTTTTCTGAATGATTTCAATCGTGTCAGTAAAAAATAAATGAGACAGTGAAAATTATTTTCTTAAAAAGTATAGATTTTAGAGAATGAAGTTTTATTTAAAATGAAATATATATATTTAAAAGTTAGTCAGAATCTAAAATAACATCAAACATTGCTTCAGGTTTATCCTCATTTACTGCTCTAGCTTAAGAAGTTCTCAAAAATTAATCCCAACCTAATATTTCTTTTCATCAAAGACAATTAAACAAATACATTCTCCCTTCCATTCATTGCTCCTTTACTACTCGCCAATTGTAAAGTGATGTATATTTTTACGACAATATTGTGACACGTGAGTTTAAAATTTCTCATTTGACAATTCCGTTACTTTAGTGACAATGTTATACCGACGCGTGAGCTTATAATTAACTATTTAAATCCCTTTTTTTTATAATAATTATATATGCTTATTTCATCGCAAGCATTATTTTTCTATAGTTTTTGGCAATTACAGGTTGACAGGGTTGGGTTTTCACCGTCAAAAACCTACTGTTTTCTTTAATTTATGGCATATAGAGGACAATATTTTTTCACTTAATTGCCTTTATAAATGAATGTTGTAAATGATTGCTATTGATTTTGCAACTACATACATATTCTTATAGAAGGATATACATTCATACAGAAATATTGTAACATACTTACTGAAAATAGTGATAGTGATTATTGAAATAGTGATTTATCATTATAGCTTGATTTGCAAAGGATTCAAAATTTTGCACTTCTTAATTGTTAGAAATAAACAAACAAAAAAAAAAACTTGGAACTAATAATAAATTCAAGAACTAAAAATTTGGCATTTCTTAAATGTTAGAAATAAGCTAAACAAAACTTTCAAAACTTGTAACTACTAACAAACTCTTAAGTCAGGGATGACTTGACATTCTTCAGTAATGTAATATGCCAAACAAAATGATGCTTGGAAATGTTGAAAATTTTGTTTAGTATCCTAATATTTTACTTCAAATAGTATGATTTGATATAATCATGTTGGGAAAATGCAAAAATCTGTTCTTAAATATCTTTTAACAACTTTTTTTCTAATTTTATTGCCCAAAAATGAATTAATTTTAAATCATAAGCAGTTAAACTCAAATTAAAATACAGTTTTATCAAAACTATGGGTTTTTGACAGNAATTAAAATACAGTTTTATCAAAACTATGGGTTTTTTGACAATTTCTGACGTTTTTGACATGACGGTAAAAACCATGGTATAAACCCGTGAAAACAGTCATGTGTCAAAAACTTGCCAACCCTGCAAGTTGCATAGTGTTTTTAAAAAGTGCTTGAATGTTCTTATTTTCATTTGTTTTTTAAAAGCCCTTAAAGGTGCCTTTTTATTCAGGGTTTATGAAAAGTGCTCTAATTTTTCTATCTTTTAAAAGGAGATTTTTTCTTTGTATCGTCGTTGTAAGTTACCAGAAATGCGTGATTTTCACAATTTTCTCTGCAATATTAATCAGAAACTAGTTATTTTATCATGATTATGTAAAGTTTTTAAAAAAAATCTTAATTTGATTGATTTTATGTTTATAAATGAAGAACTTTAAATGATAGGAAAAAATAATTTTAAGTGCTTTTAAAGGTGCTTTTTTTTTTCTTCAAAATCTGGCCAAGCATCCTGAATTAGCGACATGCATTTCTAAATAGTGTTTAGAATCCTGATATTTTAATGCAATGTTATACTTTAAAATTTTGGTAAACCAGAGAAAAACATGAATTTTTTTTTNTATATTAATTGCTTTTTAATTTTTTTTTTTTTTTTTTTTTAATTTTTAACTTCTTGCTGTCTGTAATTCAATTTATTTAAAAAATTTTGTAGCTTAAGTGATTTTTTTTTTTAAGAAATAAGGAATGTTTTCTATTTAACATTCATAAAACCTTTAATAATAATTCAAGAAGGAGATAATGTTTGAAGTATAATACCAAATAAATATTGAATCTTACTTTATACCAAAATGGTTTTGTTTTAATTTTTGGTTTTTGCATAAATTCTCAAATTTTCTTTAATGGAAATATAAATTTTAAATTCTAGCAATTAAAAAAAAAATCCAAATATGTTACTAATTTTTTTTAATAAAAAAATTTAGTGCTTAAAACACTAATGATTATATTAAAATTATCATATTTACTACTCCGCATGCTAATGACCCTTCACTCAAAAGTGTTGCTCGTCCTTAGTTTATGTAATTAGATCCAATAATTTATGTAGTCTGTAGTTCTTGTCCGACAGTTAGATAGTTCATGTCTGATAATTAGTAGGGTAAATGACACTAAAGTTAGCTCTTTGTCAGACCATCGTCAAGTTACAGCTAAAAACCATTAAATTTGTAAATAAATTTTAAAAAATAAATATCTTGGTAACAAATGATTAAAAAAAAAAGTCTGAAACTTGGTATTTTTCTTGCCAGTAACAAGTTTAACTTGTAAATAATTATTTAAATTTGTAAATATATATTATTTGTTTACTGTAGAATTACCAACTCCACCTTTCATATATATTCCTTAGGCTGTTAAGTTTTCAGTTTTCACAGTGAGGGTACATAAAATGAGGTAAACCTTGCTGAACTAATGGTAAACCTTGACTGAAATTTTAATTCCTTGGGAACTAGTATCTCATAGAAGAATCCTTTTATTAACCTCCAGTAATGACTTAGAATTTAAAAATAACAAATGTTTACTACAGTTATCTGATTTCTTTTGTTTTTCAGAAATGGTTGAAGCTATGAAAAAAGTAGCTTCTCTAGATGTGGAGCTGACAGTAGAAGAGAGGAATTTATTATCTGTGGCTTACAAAAATGTCATTGGAGCTAGACGAGCTTCATGGAGAATAATCAGCAGCATTGAACAGAAGGAAGAGAACAAAGGTTCTGATAACAAGTTGGAAATGATTAAAGCCTATAGAGTGCAGGTAGCTTAACTGTTAAATAACTATTTTAATAAATTACGTCATTTCATACTGATGCAACTGTTTAGTTCTATCTCATCTAAGTTTGATAAGATTAATTTTATTAAAGGTTTAATATATGTATGTCAAATTGAATTAAAGGAATGTTATTGTTTGAATTATAATCAAATTAAGTTATGAAAACATTTTTAATAGAAGGTTAAATTGCTGCAATTTAAAAACAAAATTTGCATATTCAACCATAGCAAATTTAAGATTAGAGAAAATCCGCCTTTTTTTCTCAAGATTTATGGCAAAATAATTACCATCTGAAAGGAATTCATATCATTGTATGAAATTAAAGTGTAACATGTTTGTAATTTAAGTCATTTGTTATTTAAATCTTGCACAGTTCTTAAAAATATGATAATTTACAGAAAACTTTATATAGTAAATCTTACTAATTTATTTGACCTTATTCCGAATAGTGAATTTAGTATTTTATTGAGAAAGGCAAATTTTTGTCATATCAGCTCAAATGCAGCATCAAAACTTGAGTTATGAAGCAAATGATCTGTTATTGGTAAAATATTTGTAGATTCCAGGAATAAATTATTCTGATTTCCTTACAATCAGTAAATTGGTAAATTTATCATCAGTCATTACACATAATTTTTGTGAACTTGTTAGTTTAAGTATATCACTAAATTTTCCCCTCCTCCCCTTAAAAAAAGCAATTTATGATTACTATTTGAACTTATTTTTCAATTATAATACAAGAATTAGAGAGAAAAAAAACAATGTTTTGCACTTTAAACATATTCAAGAAAAAATTATTTAAATACACCAAGCAGTTAAAGGTAATTGGTCGTATTTTCTACCTGAATAGTATCTGCATTCAAATTAAATTTGTTACAATGATTTCTTTCGAATTCTATTATTCCTTGGACTTGATAAAATAAAAAATCATTACATTAGATTAAAGCATTAGCTTCTTTCTAAAGTTTGAAATAAATTTCTTGGACTAGTACTGATTCTTCTTAGATTCTATCCAATTTTGCTTGTTATTTCCAACTACGGAAATTATAGCCGATTAATTGCTGATTTGATGGGGGGTTTTCCCCTGCTGCTTAACACATTTCTGATTCATGGATTTTCAAATTCTAATATATATACAATATAAAATGTAGTTTACAAATACAATTACTTTTTTGATGTTCCTTACTGTAATTCCATCACAAACCTATGTCATTTTTCAATTTGATTGTTAAGCATCAATTTGTCTTTCATTAAGCAATATCCAAAAAGTTTTGTCAAATCCTGATTTGCTTTATGTGACATGCATTTTACGCATTGAAGTTATTACTATTTAAAGCAACAATTCAATTGTAACTTCATAATCAGGGGTCTGTCCAGACATTTTGTAAAAGGTCCGGTTTTCGTGAAATTGTGAAAAATTTACACATTCTTTCAACCAGGGTTCCAGTTATTGCAAAAAACTTTTTCAATGAGTTTTTATTGCAAATAGATACAAGATTATGCTCAGCACTGTAAAATTATAATTAAAAAAAGTTACATTTTCAAAAATAAACTGCAATTGCTGCTTCTAAATTTGCTGATTGCTTAATTGCTGATCAATTTCTCAAATATAGTTGCATGCTTTATTTATTAATATTATTATTAATTCATGTGTCTAAAAAAATTGAGAAGAAAAATTTTTTTTTTTAACTAAGTGATACAATAGCACTTTTAAACAGTTTTATATTCTGGTTTTAAAAAAAATAGGCTAAAACTTATCATAAGAGAACTTTTTAAAATTATTCATCAAAAAATGAAATCATTTTCCTAGGGTTAATTTTTGAAAAAAAATGTGACAAGTAACTGATACTCTTTATAATTACACATAATTTCACTTTCTTTTAATCTTATTATAAACATGGAAGACCAATCTTTATTTTAGTTTTTTATTGAAGTCAAAAGTCAGATGAAATTTTAGTTTTTACTGATTATAATTTTATAATAGGTAATATATATAAGTTTAATAAATGTGTGTGAAAAGAAAAAGATTAATAAACTTGTTTGTTTTATATTACCCCATTTATATTTTATAATGCTTGAGTTAAAAATTGTTATCGTTAAAAATTGTTATCGTATTGAACGTTATGTACTTAACAAAAAAGAAGATTCAAATATGTATTAGTGATAATACGTTTAAACTTAATATAAAATGCATGTAACAAGATTAAAAAAATTGTTTGGATTTATTTCTATTTTTAAGCTTATACAACGCTTTTTAATAAATAAAAATATTTACACAGTAAATCTTAAAGTTTGTCAGCAATTAATTAAAATAAACCCATTTTCCACGGTTTTTTTTTTTAAATAAAACCCAATTTTCCCCAGGTTTTTTTCAATAAGATCCAGGTGGGTTGGGGTTTTTCAAACCCTGCTAATACCAGGTTATTATTAATCAAAGCCAGGTTTATTATTTTACCTGTAACATAACTATTTTTTTTTAAAACCTAAGTATAGTTTTCTGTAAATTGAGGCTTTTTTCTTCATTCCAAAACCATTCAAAAAGTATACTTTAGGTATCTTTTTATTTTACTACTGCTCAATTCTTGTCTTTACCTTAAAAAAACTTACCGTATATTCCGGCGTATAAAGCGCACGAAAATTTGGATTGTGTTAGAGGACAATGTAGAAAACTGGGTTTTCGAAAATCAGCAAAATGACTTGATTGTAACAAGAAACTGTGTTCACTTGTTTGCTCTAAAATGGGCAAAGATTAATCCACAGGAGAGTGAAAATTCTAAGGCTACTGTGAGTTGGTGTCGCCGATTTATGTCTCGAAAAAATTTAGTTCTACGTGAAAAAACCTAAGTATCACAAAAACTACCAAAAGACTTGGATAGCAAATTGTTAAGTTTTCGAAAATAAATTATAGAACTGCGGAGAGAAAAAAGGAGTATTTACTTTCGCAAATAGGAAATATAGATGAGACCCCAGTCATGTTTGGCATGATCGGTAATAAAACAATTGATTTAAAAAGAGTTAAATCTGTCAATGTAACAACAACGGGACATGAGAAATCTCTTTTCACCGTAGCCCTTTCTTGCTTAGCGGATGGAACAAAACTAAAACCAATGGTTTTTCTTTAGAGAAAAGCTTTTTCTTAAGGTATTTTTGGTCATGTCCACGAAAAAGGCTGAATGGACAAATATGATGTTAAATTGTGGGTAAAAAATTGTCTGGCAAATCTGTCCTGGTTGTGTAAGAAAACCAGAAATCCTTTTAGTGTGGGACATGTTTAGGTCCCACCTTACAGATAATACAAAAAAATTGTTGAAAGAATGTAACACCGATATGGCAGTTATTCCGGGCGGATTGACACCATTAGTTCAGCCATTGGACGTCTGCTTAAACAAACCATTTAAAGCCAATTTAAAAAAACAGTGGAACACTTGGATGTTGGAGGGCGAGAAAACCTTTACGAAAGGAGGACATATGCGTCATGCAAGTTTGGAAACAGTGTGCGAATGGATATTAAAAGCATGGGATGAAATTAAGCCTGAGATGGTTAGAAAATCATTCAAAAAATGCAGCATTTCAAATAATCTGGACGGATCAGAAGATGACTGTTTATTTATGGATAAGGGTAACACAGATGATGAAGACGAAATGGATTGTGATGACGTGCCCGAAGAAATAACGGAAGATGAATATAATGAACTATTTATGTAATAACGAAAATCAATAAAGTATATAGGTAAAGCTATTTTATTTCTTTAAAATAAAGGTATTTTTCTATATTTAAATTTTTTTAAATCTGTAATTTTTTATATTCGGCGTATACCGCGCACCCGTAAATTCCAAAGTTATTTTTTGTATTAAAAGTGCGCGTTATACGCCGGAATATACAGTACCATAAAGACAAATTTGCATTGTTTATGCATATAGGAAAATGTGATACCCAAGTTTTTTGACAGAAGGTATTTGGTTAAAGGATATTAAAACATGGTTTAAAATCCCTTTACCAAATAATACAATATCTTGTGTGGTAAAGGTAATCAATCCTTTACAATGAATTTATTTGAAATAACCATGTTTTGTCATATGACAATAACTTGCCAGACCTATCTTAATATGAGATTATTGCATTCTAATTTTAATTACTTTTTTGTAATTGTTAAAGATTTATTGTAATGATTGTAGGTTGAAAAAGAGTTGAAAGATATCTGCCAAGATATTCTTGATGTGCTTGATAAACACCTTATTCCTACTGCGTCAACTGGAGAATCTAAAGTTTTCTACTATAAAATGTAAGTTTTGACATTATTTTCTATCTATCCTCTCTTTGTTTTTGTTAGCTTTCTAAATTTTCTTTGTTTTCTGTTTTGATTGTTTAATCTTGTAATCTCAAAACTTTTTCACATAGGCCCGAAGCTAATGTTGGTGTTCAGAAATTGAGAACTCTCACTCTTAAAAAGAAAAAGATACCCATTTTGCGAGACACATTTCTTGTGCAAAAAAAATGGGGTCTTTTAATGAAAAAATTTTTCAATCTGGAGCTAGAAGTATTTTTTAAAAAATGTGTTGTTCAGCAATAGAGAAAACCGGGATTCATCAGGGAATTTCTCAAAAATCTTGGTAAAACCAGGAGAGGTATCGACAACAAGCAATCGAAGAATGCTTGAACTTGTGAGCGGTGCTTCACTAAAACTGACACACAAGTTTTATCTCGTATTTTTCCCCAGTGGTAAATTTCCATTTGTCTTTTACCAGTAATGCTTTTTTTTTTTTGTCGTCATTTCTGTATGGTTTTTTAAAATTCAGATATATTTAATATGTTATTGTGAATTTCGAATTTGAGCTATCACTTTTTTGAAGCGTTCAATTTTCAGTGATGTAAGGTGTTCAGAGATGAAAATCAGAATTCATCCGGGAATTTCTCGAAACCGGGAAAGGTATCGACAACAAGCAGGGTTGGCTTTTTGTCGGCAGAAACTGGTTTTTGCCATGCCGGTGGCAAAACTGGCCGAAACTAAAAAAAAAAAAAAACTTCGATGTTAGTTCAAGTAATAGCTTAATGACATTTTGTTTAAGTAAACTGAAAGATTTAACTCCATGTAACTGTTACAAACTTTTTAATTCATTGTTTGTAAATATATATTGTTTATATTAAATATAAGGAGTGCAGCATATCAAATATTTATATAAAATAAAGAATAAAGTAATGTAATAATGAATATAAATACTAGATTTTAGTTTATTATATTAAACTCTAAAATTCAATAATTATTGTCATTTAACTCTTAACATAACTGAATAGAGCTATTTTCAAATAGTTCTTTTCAAGGCATAATATGCATGGCAACAATCCTATTGTTATAATAGTAAGTTTTAAATGGCTGCTAGATGGCTATGCTGTGATGGCTATTTTTCCTTTCCCATATAAGTCTATGTATTGACAGCAACGACAGACTAAATAAAAAGAGTTGAAAATAACAAAAGCTTAAGAAATCCATTGTAGAGTTTGGGGAGAAAATAAAGAAGAGTTGAGGAAAGAAAGGACAAAAAGGATATGGAGTCTATTACATCAGGGCACTAATTTAATTCAGGTGCAACAGGGTGGATTCTTTTGACTAAAAGGGCAGCAGGGTGCTGCATCCTGTTTACCACCTAGAATGAGCTCTGAGATATATTTAATACATTATTATGACATGTGTTTTTCGAATTTGAGCTATCACTTTTTTGGAGCATTTAATTTTCAGTGATTATATTGTAATTTCACGTCTTCTAAGTTTTTTCGGGAATTTTAGTTGTTTTGAACCACTTTCACATAGTTTTTCAAATTTGTGTGATCTGACAGATGTTCGAATTTCAGATGCCACTTTTTAATGCATTTACTGGGTTCCCGCGGCCTTGAAAAGTACTTGAATTTAATTTTGATTTTCAAGGGCCCCTAGAAGTACTTGAAAATGATATTAAATCCTTGAAAAGTATCGAAAACTCAGGAAAACAGCCCTATTTCCAGTATTTCTATGTTTAACTTTTGACGCGCGTAAGTGTGAGAGAATGACTTCCCCGTCTTTCNAGAAAATCATTAAAAAAATGCAGCATTTCAAATAATCTGGACGGATCAGAAGATGACTGTTTATTTATGGATAAGGGTAACACAGATGATGAAGACGAAATGGATTGTGATGACGTGCCCGAAGAAATAACGGAAGATGAATATAATGAACTATTTATGTAATAACGAAAATCAATAAAGTATATAGGTAAAGCTATTTTATTTCTTTAAAATAAAGGTATTTTTCTATATTTAAATTTTTTTAAATCTGTAATTTTTTATATTCGGCGTATACCGCGCACCCGTAAATTCCAAAGTTATTTTTTGTATTAAAAGTGCGCGTTATACGCCGGAATATACAGTACCATAAAGACAAATTTGCATTGTTTATGCATATAGGAAAATGTGATACCCAAGTTTTTTGACAGAAGGTATTTGGTTAAAGGATATTAAAACATGGTTTAAAATCCCTTTACCAAATAATACAATATCTTGTGTGGTAAAGGTAATCAATCCTTTACAATGAATTTATTTGAAATAACCATGTTTTGTCATATGACAATAACTTGCCAGACCTATCTTAATATGAGATTATTGCATTCTAATTTTAATTACTTTTTTGTAATTGTTAAAGATTTATTGTAATGATTGTAGGTTGAAAAAGAGTTGAAAGATATCTGCCAAGATATTCTTGATGTGCTTGATAAACACCTTATTCCTACTGCGTCAACTGGAGAATCTAAAGTTTTCTACTATAAAATGTAAGTTTTGACATTATTTTCTATCTATCCTCTCTTTGTTTTTGTTAGCTTTCTAAATTTTCTTTGTTTTTTGTTTTGATTGTTTAATCTTGTAATCTCAAAACTTTTTCACATAGGCCCGAAGCTAATGTTGGTGTTCAGAAATTGAGAACTCTAACTCTTAAAAAGAAAAAGATACCCATTTTGCGAGACACATTTCTTGTGCAAAAAAAAGAAATGGGGTCTTTTAATGAAAAAATTTTTCAATCTGGAGCTAGAAGTATTTTTTAAAAAATGTGTTGTTCAGCGATAGAGAAAACCGGGATTCGTCAGGGAATTTCTCAAAAATCTTGGTAAAACCAGGAGAGGTGTCGACAACAAGCAATCAAAGAATGCTTGAACTTGTGAGTGGTGCTTCACTAAAACTGACACACAAGTTTTATCTCTTATTTTTCCCCAGTGGTAAATTTCCATTTGTCTTTTACCAGTAATTTTTTATTTATNTTTTTTTTTTTTTTTTTTTTTTTTTTTTTTTTTTTTTTTTTTTTTTTTTTTTTTTTTTTTTTTTTTTTTTTTGTCGTTTCTGTATGGTTTTTTAAAATTCAGATATATTTAATATGTTATTGGGAATTTCAAGTTTGAGCTATCACTTTTTTGAAGCGTTCAATTTTCAGTGATGTAAGGTGTTCAGAGATAGAGAAAATCAGAATTCATCTGGGAATTTCTCAAAAATCTTAGCAAAACCGGGAAAGGTATCGACAACAAGCAGGGTTGACTTTTTGTCGGCAGAAACTGGTTTTTGCCATGCCAGTGGCAGAACTGCCAGAAACTAAAAAAACTTCGATGTTAGTTCTAGTAATAGCTTAATGACATTTTGTTTAAGTAAACTGAAAAATTTAACTACATAACTGTAACAAACTTTTTAATTCATTGTTTGTAAATATATATTTTGTTTATATTAAATATAAAGAGTGCAGCATATCAAATATTTATATAAAGAAGAATGAATATAATATTTTATGTAAGAATGAGATTTTAGTTTATTATATTAAACTCTAAAATTCAATAATTATTGTCATTTAACTCTNTTTATCTTGAAATTCAATTTCATAATATGTGAGTTGCTAAAAATGAAGTTTTTTTCCAGATTATTTTTAATCAGGGTTCCCACGGTACTTCAAAAACCTTGAAAGTCCTTGAGTTTGGTTGAAAAAAATCAGGGCCCCAGAAAGTCCTTGAATTCTGCCATAGGGTACTTGAAAAGTACTTGATTTTTTAGAAATAAAAATACTACTAATTTTTCTTGCAAAAAAGTAATGAAAAAAAAAATTCAAAGGAAAATTATAGAAATTCTAATTATGCAATTTTTAATGCTTGAAGTGAAAAGGGGTTAAAGAAGATGCAAAACTTTTCTCTCCTAGATTTTTCAGACCCGATTGTTGTTCATATCTGATGTTTTGGAAGCTGAAATTTCTAGCAAATTTTAGGTTTTTTAGTCATAGTGTTGCGAATGATATATAGGGTTTAATTGATTTAGAAACATGTTTAATGTGTTGACTTCATTATTACGACAGGTTAATATTGTTGTCCTATTTGTTCTTTTAATTTATGTAAGAAGTATAATTAATTTTGTATCATTTGCAATAAAATTATTACATTCAGTTTTTACTGCTAATAAATAAAGTTTAGTCCTACAGGTTTCATTGATTATGAATAAACATCGCGATTCACATTAAACTGATTCTTGATTTATGGATGAGAAATTCACATAAAATGATCTACGAATTGTGGTTTAACTGAAAGTGATCAATGAATCACATATCGAATATTACTTTAAAGTGATTTGCAAATTACTCATCAGGATTTGTATTAAGGTATTTTATAAATCACATCATAATTCACATTAAAGTTATTTATCAATCATGCCTCACTATTCTTATTCTAGTAGTTTACAAATCACGCATTGCGATTCACAAAAGAGAGATTTAAGAATTACCACCCACAATTCTTATCGAAATGATTTTAGAATGACACATATCTGTCCTATATTAAGCACCTTTCGAAACACAAATTGCAAATTGTGAAAATTAGGCATATTCACAAAATTTACATTTTATGGATATATTTTAAAGAAAATAAAGCTTGGTAAGTCTTAGTTATCTGTAAAATATTGTTCTACAATAGATTTTATTATGTTCAAAATACATTACTGATGTTCTTAAGTAAGAACATAGAAAATTTGATATTAAAATTGAAACAGATATGTTAAATAGATATATTTTGGTAATTTATCTAATTATATACATTTCTTGTAACCTAAAATTTGATCTAACATATTAAAAAGAGTATTTGTATTTTAAAAACCGTGCAATTACACAAACTTTATCAATTATTTACTATGCTTGTTTAATGTAATATGCATTACTCATTCATTCAGTTTCATTAATTCTAATTCATTTGTCATGAAAAGTTTCACTGATGCTAGTTTTAAATGTTGGCTAGTATCCTGTGTCAATTGGAGGTTTTTTTTTTTTTTTGGTCAATTGGAATTTTTTAAAGTAATTTGAAACAGCAATGTAACTATCAACCATTCGTATTATTAGCTGATAAATTTAATAAATAATTTTTGTTGTTGTCAAATAAGCATTATGATTTAAAAATATGCAATTTCTGCTTCTAAGTAATTGTAAAATCTGGTTGAAATGTACTTTGGCGTATAACAATATTATCGAATAGGTCCTTGAAAAATTTGATTTTAGGTCCTTGAAAGTCATTGAAAAGTCCTTGAATTTTTTTTTTAAAAGATTGAGTGGGAACCCTGATAATATGCATGGCAACAATCCTATTGTTATAACAGTAACAGTTTTAAATGGCTGCTAGTTCTGCTGGACTTGAGAATCTTCTCAAATTTCTCGTTCATGCGTAGCAAATTGAGAAATTGTTTAGGTTCAGAAACTGCATCAAAACTTGTCTTTTGTTATGTTACTGCAGAGTGCAAACAACGTAATTTTTGATTTTGAATGATGATAATTTTGTGAATAAATTGTACTTTGTTTAACATTTAATTGTTTTTCTATTAATTATCCATTGTATGTCAATCTCAGTACTTCTATGTCATTTTCTGAATTTCTGCCACAAATGTGGCAGAAAGAGGTTTCTGCCTTGCCAGTTTTAACTGGTTTCTACCAGTGGTTTTAACCACTTCAGCAGAAACTTGACAACAAGCAATCAAAGAATGCTTGAACTTGTGAGTGGTGCTTCACTAAAACTGACACAAACAAGTTTTCTCTCATATTTCTTTCCAATGGTAAATTTCCATTTGTCTTGTTTTTTACCAGTAATTCATAGTTTTTATTATTTATTTTTTTACATTTCTGAATATTTTAATTTCTTTCTATGGGCTTTTCACGTTCTATTAAAAAACATTGTATATTAGTAAAAGAATTTTTTTTTTTTAACTTTACTAAAAGTAGCAAAGCAATCATATTAATAAAATGATAAATATATTAATAAAATAATAAATGTATGTTTTTAAGTGTCTGTAGTTATGATTTAATGATAGTGGAAGTAACTGCAAACTTTCAAAGACAAGTGCAACAAGGGGGTTTGGTGGCTATTTTTCCTTTCCCATATAAGTCTATGTATTGACAGCAACGACAAACTAAATAAAAAGAGTTGAAAATAACAAAAGTTTAAGAAATCCATTGTAGAGTTTGGGGAGAAAATAAAGAAGGGTTGAGGAAAGAAAGGGCATTACGGAGAGAGCAAGGTCGCAACTAGAAACTTTTTCGTCCCTCAATGAAATAGATATACCACAAAAACAAATTGAAAGAAATGTTATATTCCACAAGAACAAATTGTTAAGATAAGGCGTTCTGCATTCTAATTCCTCATAAATCTATCACTCCTTATCTCCCCTTCTGCTGACCAGACGAGTGGTCCTCTCGCCGTTCAAACCCCCTTCCTCTAGCGTCCACCATGTGAAAGGGGGCGACCGCAAACGATTTGTAGCTTACAAATTATCAATTTGTAATTGTGGGATATCTATTTCACTGAGGAAAGCAAAAGCAGCCTGCCCTCAGCCTTAAGGATATGGAGTCTATTACATCAGGGCACTAATTTACTTCAGGTGCGACAAACAGGGTGGATTCTTTTGACTGAAAGGGCAGCAGGGTGCTGCACCCTGTTTACCCTACCTAGAATGAGCTCTGAGATATATTTAATACATTATTATGACATGTGTTCACATAGCTTTTCAAATTTGTGTGATCTGACAGATGTTCGAATTTCAGATGCCACTTTTTAATGCATTTAGATTCCTGGTGATTTCGTCAAAACTTCATGTCGCTAAATGCTTTGTTTTTTAACTGATATTTGTAATTTTTTGGCTCTTTCTACATAGTTTTTCAAACACTTTTTTATTTGCATGTACCCTTATGTATGTACCCTACACAAATGTGGCACATTAAAAAACTTGATTGGTGTTTTTATTTCCTATGAATTGGATATATTGGCTGTTTTTTGAACAAGGTATTGCTGATGATCAACTAATTTTAATTTTTACAGGAAGGGAGACTATCATCGATATTTGGCAGAGTTTGCTACTGGTAATGACAGGAAAGAGGCTGCTGAAAATAGTTTAGTGGCTTATAAAGCAGCCAGTGACATCGCTATGACAGAATTGCCGCCTACACATCCAATCAGGTAACTAGAATGAAGTGCTTGATTATTTTTTTCTAAATCAAGTAATAAGTTTGGTTATTCTTTATAATAATACTCAATTTTTTAAAAAAATCTTTGTATACTGTATAATTTGAATCCTATGGTGTTTTCGTGTATAATATCTCCTTCTAAATTGAAATATTCAGGGCTGACCTGTTTAAGCAGAAAGTCAATTATGTAATAGTGATTGTCAAGGCTTTAAAAAAAAAAAATTCTCCCAATTCAATTTTTAATAAAAGGCTTAAATGTGATTAATATGTTTATATATATATATATATAANAAAACTGGAGTGTTTGTGGAATTTCAGGTGATAGTATCTTCCAACATTGGAGAAACGAGATGTGCATTGATACTAAAGTTTAGCACAAAAACTGTAGCTGAAATCCATATTTGAAGGTCATTGGTTTGATTTTTCATGACCTCATATTATTCATAAGTAATCATTTATATTGAAAACAAATTCTATAAATAATAATCTTATAGCTGCGAACTTTAACTGTTTTCGTTTTTTTTTTAACTGTATATTCTGCCAGTGGAACTGACGTTTCATAAGTATTTTCATTTCTGATTAAAATTTCATGCTCATAAAGTGAAACTATATTTTTCTGCCGAACTGCAAAAATTTTTATAGAGTAACTAATGGTGTTTTAAAAAAAATTTCATCTCAAAAAATTTACCCTTAACAAACCAATGCCACCATATAAGTGGCCAGTACTTTTATGTATTGAGTCCAATACCATGCATGTGATAGCTGAAATCATTTTTTTTATCACTCTTATAGCTATCCAATTTGAGAATTATACCTTGTAGAAAAGAAAATACTTCCGAGCCAATAAGGGTTAATAAATGGTTTAGCATCACTCATATTTATTATTTAATTAATGAGTCGGGTTTTTCTTCCTTTTTCTAATGCACTGTAATCACAATGAATAATTGCATCTCTCGTGCTGCCATTATAACTTGTGTAACTAGTTACTATTAGTTTGCTCTTTTTTTAAAAAAAAGGATGTTTTTGAATAATTATAATGTAAATAAGCCTTTTTTTTTTATTTCAAGCGAATTTTCGAATTTATTTTCCTGAAACTAAAAAAGTAAGCACATTGTTTTCACTTTATATTTACATTAAGAACATATAAAGTTTATTTAAATGAAAATTTAAAACTAGTAAGTTGATAAATATTGAGGCTAGAGCTAGATTGTCTTCTAAATTTGTTGGCATTTTTCACTTTGTATTTTAGTTATGTTAGTTTTGTTATCTATTTAACTGAAGTTGTATTGAGTTGGTGTATTAGGTCCTGAAAAAACCTGTTTCTTCTAAGACATCAATCACAAAATAAGACATGCCTCTGAAAGTAACTTACAAAAAAACATTAAATCAAGATTATTATTATTATTATTATTTAAAAAAAATGGCTGTTTCTGCCTCAATGCATTTGAGGGAGAGAGAGAATAGTCTTTGTTGTCGTGTACTTGTGTCGTTTCGTCGTAGGCATGTTATACCAGCTGATTAAGACGGAATGACAGTGTATGTCTGGAATCACTATTTTGTTATATCTCTGTCCTAATAACATTATCTTTATTATGTTAAATGTTAATATTTCTACATTATTTCATTTTACTTAATATTTTATTCTCTTTTAATCATGATGTATATTTATAAAAAGTAAAATTAACTATTGGGACCCTATTTCCCAGATTTCAGCTACTTCTCTTTATTTTGTGGGTAAGAAATCCAAATTATTATTAGCATATTCAGTATATAAAGATCCCCTCATTAGATCAAAAATTATTCAGGGTGTCCCTTTTATATATCTATGCACCCCATACATTTTAAATGCTGTACTATAAATAATTTGTTTTCTGTTTTTTACAAAATAGTTTCAATCATTTTTTATTTATTTTTGCTTGATTTGAGTTATTAAGTATTTTCAGACTTTTTGCTCTTTCCCATTCTCATACCAGTGCACCCCCAACCTTTTTATGGACAAGTCATTTTACCACAACATGAGGGAGGTAGAAAGTTGACTGTTTATGATTTATATTGTTTTGATTTAAAAACTTCAATTATATTTAAACAGTCCTTCAAAATTAAATACAATTACATGCCCAGTATTGGTGTGGCTTTAACAGGGTGCGTAGCATTTTTAAAAAGTACTTGATTTTCCCTCTTCCGAAATGTGATATTTTTCTTTACCGTATTGATTTTCGCCACAAATAATGCAAAAAGTCATTGTCCTATTCAACGTTTTCACAATCTATTTCTGCTTACCACCCGTCTGTAGTGTTTAAAAGCACCATTTGTTTTACATGTTTGGTGAAATACTTGCTGGTCTGCACTTGCGTATACTGAGCTGGATTCAGTAGTAAGGATTTTCTATTCTCATGTGCAGCCCTCTGTAATAGAATCTAAAAATCTCATTTTCCGCTCTCTGTGATAGAATAAAAAAATATCTCTAATTTTTGCTGATTACAGGGACCGACTAAACATTGTCAATTTTTTTACATTTGCGATAGAAAATTTAATTTCTCTTGTTAATTTCATCATTTGTGACGTGCCATCGACTTTGTCACTGTAAATAAAACCGGATAAAACCATCAGCTCTAAAAAACTTCCCAACCCTGTCTAATTATGATATTTTTTTGAGTGCTTAAAAGGTACTTATTTTTTGTTGAAAAATTTGGCTACGCACCCTGTTTAAGTGAAATCTCTCATCCGTAGAAAGTCTTTTAAAACCTGAAATACATCACAGCAAATAAGATGGGAATAATTTTATGTCCTTTGGATCGCTTGGTACCATTTGATCCACGGAACTGAGGTTGGAGACCGCTGCTGTAAACAATACACCTCATGCCTCTTAAAATGTGTTACTATTTTTCCTTTCCCTATGAGTTTTTAATTTCTCTTTCATCTTTACAGAATATGTATGTATTTTATAATTCTAAGAAATAATCTTCTGTTTTAGATTGGGCTTAGCTTTGAATTTCTCAGTGTTCTATTTTGAAATTCTGAATGCCCCTGATCGTGCATGCCGCTTAGCCAAGGCTGCATTTGATGATGCCATTGCTGAGCTTGACACTCTAAGTGAAGAGAGCTACAAAGATTCTACACTCATTATGCAATTACTGCGAGATAATTTGACACTATGGACGAATGATATGCAGCACGATGGTATGGCTTTTTCCCCTATTTACCTATGCATATGTACATACCCTCCAACTTATGAGGATTTTGAAAATAATTCTTTCTACTGGTAGCGAACCAAAGTAGAAATTTTTAAAGCAAATGGATCTCTCATAAAACTTTCATCAGAACTTAAGAATCTAGCCATATGGCCTGCACTTTTATAAGTAATAGTGGACAAGTTACGCCAAAATTAATTTTTTTTAAATATTAAGACATTAATTTTGCTACTGTCTGAAAAGATTTCTGAAACTACGGAAATTCCGTAGCAGTTGGAGAGTATGTATGTATAAAAAATTTTAATCTAGCAAAATTTAAGTATGTGATCCAATTATGAAGTAGCCCCTATTTCAAAATTAATTTTTTAAAAATTCTTGTATAACCTTTCAATTTATAGGCGTGAACAGGGATGTGATTCTTCTGCGGATTCATGGATTTCTGCTTCTTTTTTTTTCCTCCAGATTTTTCCCGCTATTTCCTTGTCATATTGTCCATTACAAGATGTCCCACAAGTTCTCATGCAGTATTTATACTAACTAACATATACATTAGAATCCTCCTCAAAAACTATTTTTGTTTTCAGTATCGATTGGAGATATACCACAAAACATTTATTCAATGCCTAGATTTCAAAACTAGTTTTCAATAATTGTGTTACTTGTGTTGATTTTCATTGATAAGGGAATTATATTTTGTGCTATATTCTGCAAAAATTATATTTTAGATAATGTTTTTTTTTTCCAGTTACACAATTACGTGCAAAAACAAATTTAGACATCAGTTAGATGGCTTTCCGTTGCATGTAGTTCGATTTTTCTGACTAAAGATAAATTACCCCAATCTCTATTCTGAGGTCTCGATTTATAACATCATTTTCCTCTTTGGTACATACTATCTTAATCTACAATAATTTGTATCTGAGGTAATGCAATCAGCAGGCAAAATTCTATTTAAAATGCTGGTTTATTATTATTAGAAGATTTGAACCATAAGAACATCTACCTAATTTGTTTTTGTTTCTAATTTCATACATTTATCTGTGTAACGTCTAAAAGTATAGCTAAGTAGAAAGGGATCTTAGAACTAAACCTCTGTTACTCCTTCATGCAAAGTTGGCTATTATGTATATATGTAATAAGCGAGACAACAGCCTCTATGTTATCCCGCCATATGTCGCTCGCCTGAACGAAATTCATAGAACTTTCTAGATGTAAATGAGGAGTTAGTCAGTTGGAATTATCTGTTGAAGTAGTTTCTAAGTTAAACTGATAATCTTAGTGATTAAAGTCTATGTGACTATGTTATTAATTAGTTAAAGTTGTTTCTATGTGAAACTGAGAACCTGTGTGGTTCAATATTAATTGTTTAAGAGTCTGTGTGACTCATGTTATTATCAAAGAATAAGCATAATCATTAAATGTCTTGATTGACTTTATTAATGGTAACCAAGGCATTTACATTATGTGCATCTAAAGAAAGAGTAAAACCCATTTCTAGTTAACTAGAATTAGCACGTAAAATTCGTATATCAAAACAACTTTAACCGTATCAGAATTGACTTATTCTTGTAATTTTTATCAAGAGTTTCAAAACCTATGACCACAAAACTCACTATTAAAATTAAAATATCAATTCTACCATCGAAACATTTTGTAATAGTATATTTCAAGAGAAAAATATTTAGATACACACATACATATACAGTGGTGGCCAAAAGTGTGGACACTTTTTAAAAGTTTCATGTTTTTCAACTTTGTGTGCTTGTAGAATATATTAATTTTCACCTAAATACAAACTTTTATATATCAAATTGAAGGTAATTTAATGTAGAATTTAATAATAAATACAGTATTACAATATCTGTATTACAAAAAAGGTTATGCAACAAATAGTCAGATCTATCTTAGATTTGCATTTTTTTTAAGTGATACTTACACAATCAATACTTAGTAAGATAACCCTTATTTTTTAAGACAGCTCCACAGCGTTTTTTCATCGAGTGAACGAGTGTTTGTTGTTCATCTTTCGTAATCACATGGTGCCAAGAATCAATTATAGCTTCACTTAGTTGTCTTTTATTGGATGGACGTTTTTTTCGTACAAGAATTTTCAAACGTCGCCACAAATTTTCAATTGGATTGAGATCAGGGCTGTTTCCTGGCCATGGTAATATATCTATGCCTTTATTTTGAAAGCATGCTTTGCATACTTTTGCTGTGTGGCATGGAGCTGAATCCTGCTAAAAAATAAATGGTGCGTTGTTGGAGAAGAGATCCCTGATTGAAGGTATTAATTTTGGTTTCATGGCAGTTTCGATGTATTTTTTGGCATTCAGGATGACATCAATCACTTGAATTCGGCCCACACCATCTGCAGACATACATGCCAAAATCATGGCATTTGTTGGATTTTTCGTAGTTGCTTCAATGCAATCAGGGTGAAGCGCTTCGCCTACTCTACGTCTCACGTATTTTCTACCATCACTTCCAAAGAGCGATATTTTACTCTCATCCATCCAGATTACTTGCTTGCATTGATTTTTTGACCATTTAATGTGTTCTTTTGCCGACTTAACTCGTTTTTCGCTTTGCTTTTGATTTAAATATGGTTTTTTCCTTGGAATTCTAGCTTGTAGTCCAAATCCTGATAACCTTCTTCATATCGTTTTTGAACTTACTGCAATACCAGCTGCATTCATTTCACATCTAATGGCATCTGATGACATCTTTCTATCTTGAAGGCATAGCCATTTAATTTTTCTATCAGTCGTAGCACTTGTGCATTTTTTTCGGCCTGATTTGGCATCCTGAATGCCAAAAAATACATCGAAATTGTCTTGAAACCGAAATTGATACTTTCCATCAGGGATCTCTTCTCCAACAACGCACTATTTATTTTTCAGCAGGATTCAGCTCCATGCCACACAGCAAAAGTATGCAAAGCATGCTTTCAAAATAAAGGCAGATATATTACCATGGCCAGGAAATAGCCCTGATCTCAATCCAATTGAAAATTTGTGGCGATGTTTGAAAATTCTTGTACAAAAAAACATCCATCCAATTAAGTGAAGCTATAATTGATTCTTTGCACCATGTGATTACGAAAGATGAACTCCAAACACTCGTTCACTCAATGAAAAGACGCTGTGAAGCTGTCTTAAAAAATAAGGGTTATCCTACTAAGTAATGATTGTGTAAGTATCACTTTAAAAAAATGCAAATCTAAGTTAGATCTTACTATTAATTGCATAATTTTTTTTTGTAATACAAATATTGTAATACTGTATTTATTATTAAATTCTACATTAAATTACCTTCAATTTGATATATAAACGTTTATATTTAACTGAAAATTAATATATTCTACAAGCACACTATGTTGAAAAACCTGAAACTTTCAAAAAGTGTCCACACTTTTGGCCACCACTGTATATGTATATATGTGTGTGTTTATATATAAATATATATATATGTATATATATATGTATATTTCTCTTGAAATATACTATTACAAAATGTTTTGAAACTCTTGATAAAAATTACAAGAATAAGTCAATTCTGATACGGTTAAAGTTGTTTTGATGTACAAATCTTACGTGTTAATTCTAGTTAACTAGAAATGGGTTTTACTCTTTCTTTAGATGCACATACTAATCTCAAAATTTCAGTCAGGAGAGGTCAGTCTGAAAACTGAAAAGCACATATATTTGATGCCAACTGCGAGAGTTCATGTTTAAAATTCTTAACCCTAAATAAGTAAAGACTGTAAGTCCTAATGTGGATAGATCATATCAAATGATATTAGAAAGGTGATAATGTGTTTGACATAATAAAATGTTTTTTTTATTTTTTATTTATGATCAACCATTGTAGATTGTGATCAGCCTATAATGTTGCTACATGAAAATTTAGTTATAAGTTTAATTGATTTTGTTTTCAAAATAAAAAAATATTCATGGTACATAACTAAAAAAAAATAATTTCTTTTAATATTAGGAGAAGGAGGCGAACAGAAGGAAGAAGCGGCTCCAGAAACTGCAGATCAAGAAGTTTCTTAAAAATAAGTGATACTGTAAACATCTCCAATAACTCTTTAAGAGAACTTTGTGAGAAAAGACTATTTTGCATTGGTTGCCCCCCCCCCCCCTGTAGAGTTTTCCGTTTGCTCATCTTGTGAATACCTTGTATCATTTTTTTTGCTTTTTTTATTTCTTAAATCTTATGCATTCAGAATAGAAGCCTAGCTGTTATCAAATTTTCGATTATTCCAATTTAATCTCAAAAATTGAACTATAGCTCATTGTGGTTTGGAGTTGGAAATGAATCTTTAAATAAAAAAAAATAAAGCACCCTTTACGTAACTCTACTTTGTAATTCCGAATTTTTTTGTAATTTGTCTATTTAATACTTTCCTGCTGCGCTCCAAACCCTCAAAAAAATTGTTATATGTAGTTTGTGTAAGAAGAACATAGTTTTAATCCTTATTTCAAATTAGAAAATTCTAAAAAGTTGTTTAATATAGAATACTGCATGCATCAAAGATGGTGAATAGTTGTTATTTCTACTATTTAATTTCCCAGCAGCTTTTTGGACCAAATACAGTTGCTATGTTTTTGATGTGATTTTTTTCTTTCTTTCCATGTTCCAAGAAATGTCTGTTTCATAGATGCATGGGAAAAGTGACTATAAATTTGTACAAAACCTATCATGTCTGCAAGTTAACATCATTCCATTATTGAAATTAGTTGTTTTTAATATAAATTTGAATTTTGATTGCAGGCTTCTTATATTGTAAAGGGTGATGTTATTTATACATAGAAATTGAATATTTATTAAATAATAAACTGTAAAATGTTTTTTCACGTCACTTCAAACTGTATTTATATGAAAGTCTGCCCCCACACACACACCCGTGTAAAACTTTTTTAAAAGTCGATGGATGAATTTGTCGCGGACGTACATACCTGCCAACCTTTTAGACTGTTCAATAAAAAGATGTTTGCAATTATTCAGTTATATGAAAAACAATTTGTTAATTATTTTCAATTATAGTAAAATAAATGTTTAGGTAAATCAGGAATTAAGCTGACAAGCTATCTTGAATTCTAATAATGAATTAAAATTTTTGATTTTAGTAACTGTAATAATTAGTTTTTTTTTTCCTTCTATAAACTTATTGATATCAAAACTCGTGTTCTAGCAATATACTTAGCAAGCAGTTGATAGAATTCCCAGTTGTTGGCAGGTATGGCTGTAAATTTTGTTCCCAACCATTTGCATTCTTTATACTATGCTTTTTGGTCATAGTGCCAGCCTGTGTAAAATATGTATTTATTTTTTAAAAATGATTTTATTTCCTTTAAATAAAAAAAAATCGCTAGTTAAGATAATCAGCCCTTGCTTTAATACCATCGGCTCCTCTCCCCTCTGGACCCTTTCGGGTCATTTTAGGGATACTCTTTAGGTAGATTCCATCGATTTCTTACATTGATGCACTGTAGTATATATATAAGTATGTGGCCGTGTATCTGTCTTGACAAATAAAAGCTGTTTTCTGTAGTCATTTGTTCGTTTTTTTATTGGATTTAAAATTTGTACTTTTTTCTTCCTCTAATATACTCCTTTCTATGCACACTTACAAGGGAGACTAGGGAAGTGTGACTCGCCAATTTTGAAATAAACTAGTGGGGTGTATGCTTTATGAGGAGTAATTTTAGGGGGCAACATTCGTTTCGGCCCATAGAAGATCCTATGAGAGATTTTAAAAAATAATTCAGTACATAGAAAAATCTGTTTTATTACTCCAATCCAGACTATTATTGTAATTATCTCATTCTCCAATTAATTGGTTAATTAATTAGCAAATTAAATAATCAATTTGCAATTACATACTCTAATTAATTTGGAAAAATTTTTGAAAATTTTTTTGGTGCCAATTTTTTTCTTTTAATTAACCTAACAGGTTTTTCTGAAAAACTACAGATGTATAAAATTTTCGAAATCAATTTTGACAATAAATATGCATTATATAGTACTTGAAAGTATCATACAATTAATTGGAGTATGAGATAATTACAATAACTAATAGTCTGCATTGAAGTAATAAAATACCGATTTTTCTATATATTGAATTATTTTTTCTCTCGTAGGATCTTTCATGGGCCGAAACGAATGTTGCCCCCTAAAATTATTCCTCATAAGGCATACATCCCACCAGTTTATTTCAAAATTGGCAAGTCACACTTCCCTAGTTCTCCCTTGTTAGAGAAATGTGCAGTTTTCAATTACTCATTCGAAATTACAATTTGCATAATTTTATTATTTTAAAGTTGTAAGGAACAATTCAAATAAGTTCTAAAAATTATCAATCGCTATTTCTCCTAGTCTAATAAAGGGCCGTTTCTATTTTCTACTTTTTTCAAGAGGTATTGTGATGTCTTATAATACTATATCATCAAAAGTACGGAAAAAAATCGAGAAAACACAAATTAATAATTTAACCTAGAATTGTGAGGTAGAGGCCTCTTAAGCTCCTGCTATAACTTAATTTCTATTGTAAAGTATTTAAAACTATGGTGTAGCAAAAAGTTAAACAATGGATTCTCCTCTGATTTATGAAGAAAGAATCTAAAAATTTATTTTTTTTAAATACTTAAAAAATTCTTTATTATTTAGATCTTTCATTTGAACACTCATTTCGTTACAAATTGTTTCATCTTAATATAATGTATGATTGAATCACAGTTTTTTTTTTTTTAACTGATGATTTAACAAAATTGTTTCGTCTTACACCTTATCTTTAATATAATTGATGTCCCGCAGTGGNGTAGCAAAAAGTTAAACAATGGATTCTCCTCTGATTTATGAAGAAAGAATCTACAATTATTTTTTTTTTTTTTAAATACATAAAAAATTCTTTATTATTTAGATCTTTCATTTTGAACACTCATTTCGTCACAAATTGTTTCATCTTAATATAATGTATGATTGAATCACAAACGGTTTTTTTTTTTTTACTGATGATTTAACAAAATTGTTTCGTCTTACACCTTATCTTTAATATAATTGATAAATATATTTCTGTATCAAATAACACTTGACTACCCAATTTATCAGAAAAATGAGACTATTTAGACAATTTTTCTAATACAGAAATATTTTCATTATTAAAATGTTTTGAAGATACTGTTTAAAACAAGCGATTGGTAGGATTTTTGTTTTTTGCAACAAAAAAAAAATTCCAGATTCAATAACTTTTTGCAAAAAGTTAATTATAAATGAAAATTTAAAACTATGAAAATCATTTAACTTAAATTTCTTATGCTATGATTAGGACTGGGCTATAAATCGATGTATCGCGACATATCGATTTAACGCCTATTCGTTCCAGGCGATGCATCAGAAATCTGATTTAAGTCTTCGAGGAAAGACGATATAAGACACGCAAGGATCTTCCCTTACGTTCCGATGCCGACTCGGGGTGTTCGTTTCGTTATGTTGAAATGGCCTTGGTTGATTAGCGGTAGAACCAGAGTTTTGAGAATACTATATCGTGATCTCGCATGTTCGTTTTCGCACCTCTTAGTTTTGCTTTGTCGCTGCTTGATATCATTTCTTGTAGATTATTTTCAGTGCGACTAACTTCGTGATCGCTGCCCCTGTGGGCGTGACTATGTCCTTTTCAAATTTTCAGCACTCTTTCACCGCTAGGGTGATTGTTTTCGTGTGTCTCTGCTTTTTATTTCTTTTTTTTTTTTTTTTGTTTCCTCATCATTTTTTATGTTCACAACATAAATTGCTATGTAAATTTTAAATTCCTTCTGGATTTTTCCACCACTGATATGCCAAACTATGTTTTGTGTTATGTCAAAAATATATTTGTTATTTTCGAGGATATAGGGTCATGTATTGACCTAGGCGCCTCATTAACCCCAGGCTAAAGTAGCCACCGTGACTTCGTGATCGCTGCCGTTGCCTTGTTCTGAATGCAATCTATTATTGAAAAGAATTTATAAAGAGTTTCGTCATTAATTAGGTAATTTTTTTTTCAACAAAACTTTTTCTTATTTTTAAATGTGAAAATTATCGGAAATCTAATTTAAGGCGCCCATAAAGAATTAAGTTACAAAGTAATTAAATTTGTTAGGTTTTTTTCTTTTCTTTTAATTTATTAAAAACTTTTTGGATAAAANCCTGTGACGGCCGCGATTGGGACATAGTCTTGGACAGTGGGTGAAGGAAGCGATGGGAAATCAAGTGGAAAATGACTTTTCCAAAGGAAGGCTCTTTTCGCGGTCTCCAGAGCAAACTCAATTACAAGAGAGAAAATGGCCTATTAGTTAGATGAATTGGCCATTGGAAGAATTTCTGAAATTCTCAAATAAAATCGATACTGTTTGAGGTAGCAAATGATATTAGATCAATGGCGATTTGTTTAACAAATGTTATATTTTGACCAATATATGAAAGTAAAAACAAAAATGCTTATAACTAATTTATTATTTAAATTCATTCATGCTTTACGTCATTCATCTCTTACGTATAAAATATTGAATTTCCAATATTCGATATCGTTGTTTCAACATTCTATTGAATGAATTGAACATTCTATTGAATTTTTCATTTGCAATATGTGTTTCCTTCAAGGTTACAGGACTGATTGTGCTCCGGAAAAAATCCGGATTTTTCGCTAACAGTGATCCGCAAGTTTCCGGAGATCGAAGGTCCAGATGTTTCAAAAGATCATTGATTACAGAAGTTTCCAGAAATCAAATTTTCTAAGGTGGAACTTAAAAACACAATTTATTTTATTTGTTTGTAAGGGAGAGCCAGAGAGATACTTTATAAGCTTATATTCATAATTAATATTCATTTTTTATCAGTAAATAGTTGTTATAATCATAAACTCAAAAAAGAAAGACATATTTGTAAATTTTAATTACTTCTCCAGGTCATGATAGATATGTGTAAGTGGTACAGGTATGTGTAAAATTTTGAATATATTTTAAGTAAACTAAGAAATATGGAGAAAAAGGAAAAAAACCTTGTTTAAATTTTTTTCAATTTAAACTGTTTTTTTTTTCTTCATGAAAATTTGGGCTTGGGCTCACAATCACCCCTGAATACTGCACGAATGAGCTATGTTGACTCTGGGAATAGAGCGCTCACCTTCCAATGCGCAGGGATGCCACAGGCGACTAAAATGCAACTATTTTTTTGGCATGAGGCGACTATGGCTACTTTTTTTTGCCTGAAAAGGTTAAAAAAGCAACTATTTTCAGTTGGGAGACTTTTCTGTACTCCTAGAAATGTTTTTTTTTTTTTTCGTTTAAAGCATATTTTTAATTTGTTCAATTTGCACAGATTCCATTGTGACTTGTGAGTCTATTTCATTTCTCAATCGCCTTTTTAATGATTATTGCTACGAAATTCATCATGATTTTATAAAAGGAAATTTTTTTTTAAATATTACGATGCGTGAATTTCGAATTTGAATAATCACTTTTCATACCGTTAAAGTATATGCAGTTATTTCATAGAATAACTAGTTATTCCATGAAATAACTGATCGTGTCCGTTAAAGTGTGTAATATGTTATTAATTTGACACTTTAACTAGTTATTCTATGAAATAACTAGGTATTCTATAAATTAACTAATGAGAGACAGTTAAAGTGTAAAATAAACAATTTATCTAAAATGAAATAACTAGGTATTCTATAAATAAACTAATGATCGACAATTAAAATGAAAAAGAAGCAATTTATCTAATTTATGCAGCGTATAAATGGTATTTATGGAAACGTACCATAAAATCATTTGATACAGCAAGGATTACTAAAATGACACTTGGAATTACAAAGAACATTCTTTCTGAAACAAAAACATTTTTTGTTGACACACTGGGTTTTACACGAAAATTTTTTAAATCCCTGACCAGTACCTAAACTTTGAGCTGTAGCAACGGACCGGAGCGATATTTCTTCATCCGATACTTCTTCGATTTTAATTAATTTTTGTTCGTAGACACTGAACTGGGATCGGGAATATAACTGTTTTATGCGGCCGTTTCTTGTGCCCTATTGGAAAAATCCTTCTTCGGTTATTTTTATGATGATAGCTAAAATAGATTTGGCATCATCTTTTCCTCTGTCAACTTCAGGCATTGGGATACGGACGGTAAACCCCACAGAGGCTTCAGAATGAGATTTATTCGACATTAATTTAATCTTTTTCGCTTGAATTTCTAAACATTTTTTAGACTTTTCGCTTTCTCTTTGAACATTAAGTTATAGATTATTTTACACTTTAACGGGCTGCTGATCGTTATTCTATGAAATAACTAGTTAAACCATGAAATACAAGAGAGTTTTACACTTTAACGGACACGATCAGTTATTTCATGGAATAACTAGGTATTCTATAAAATAACGGATTTCATACATTAACGGTAACATATATATAAACATTAACGCTTATATAAAAATTATCATATTTGCCAACAACTTGACTGAATGGATCATGGTATATGACAATTAAGTCATTAACAAGATTTTTGTTCTTA